ATATTCAATGACTTACCATTATCTTTCTGTTACTGATTTCTAGTTTAATTATATTATTGTCAGAGAACATACTGTGTATGGCTTCACCTCTTTAATAAATCTATTAACATCTGCTTTATGACCCAATATATGGTCTATTTTGGTGAATGTCCTATGGGTGTTTTGAAAAACTTTATATCTGGCTGTTGTTGGGTGACATGTTCAATAAATATCAGTTATATCCTGCTGCTTTATGTAGTGTTCAGTTCTTCTTTATCCTTGCTGATTTTCATGCTAGTGGCTCAAGAAATTATTAAGAGAGGAGTGTTGAAGTTACCAACTATACTTATGAGCTTTTCAAGTATTTCTTTAAATTCTATCTGTTTTTGCTGCCTAATATTTTGCAATTCTTTGGTTTGATACATACACATTAAGGATTGTTATATATTCTTGATGAATTGACCCTTTTATTATTATATAATGTTTTTATCGGTTCCTTGTAATTGTCTTTGTTCTGAAGTCTACTTTATCAGATATTAATATAATCATCCCAGCTTTCCTTTGGTTAGTGTTTACATGGTATATCTGTGCTCATTCTTTTACTTACAACCTACTTATATAATTATACATCAAGTGAGTTTATTCTGAACAGCATATACTTGGGTCCTCTTTTTGAAATCTATATCTTTTTATTATTGTGTTCACACCATTTACCTTTAATGTAATTATTGATGTTAGGATTTAAGATTTCAAATTTATTATGTGTTTACTGTTGGTTCCCTCTGTTTTTTATTCCTCTTTTTTGCCCCTTTCCTGTCTTTCCTTGCAATTCTTAAATGTTATAGTATTCTGTCTTAATTTATATGTAGTAGAGCTTTTTACAACAGCTTTATTGAGAATCACCATATATATACCATATAATTTACCAGTTTAAAGTGTACAATTCAGTGGTTTTTGTATATTCACAGAGTTTCTTAAACATCACCACAATTGATATTAGAATAATTTCATTATCTCCAAAAGAAACCCTACACTATACCCTGTAACTATGACCCCTCAACACCCACCCCACTCCTGCCAGCCCTAGGCAAGCACTGGATATAGAATTCTGGGTTGACAGCTCTTTCTCCTCCCCCAACCCCCACACTTGAAAAATATTGGGTCATTACCTTCTGGCTCTGTAGTTTCTCCTGAGAAATACACTGTAATTTGAATTGTTGTTCCTCTATAGGTAATGTGTTGTTTCTCTCTGGCTGCTTTCATGACTTTTTTCTTTATCTTTAGTTTTCAGAATTGACTATCACTGACTTAGCATGGATTTCTTTAGGTTTATTCTGTTTGAGCTTTGCTCAGATTCTTACATCTCTAGGTTTGTATGTTTCACCAAGTGTGGGCCACTTCCAGCCATTATTCCTTCAAATATGTTTTCAGCTCTTTATTCTTTTTCTTCTTTTTCTGTGGTGATATGAATGGTAGATACTTTGTTATTGTCCCACAGAACCCTGAAATTGTTGATTCTTTTTGTTTCTATCTTTTCTACCAGTTGTTCAGATTGGTTTATAACAAGTTTGGCCATTCGTTTCTCTGTCATCTCTATTCTGCTATTGATCCTATTCAATGGAGTCTTTTTTATTTTTTATCCTCACCCGAGGACATTTTTCCATTTTTTGTTCAGACAGGGCGGGAGGGGGAGAGAGGAAGAGAGAAAGAGAGAGAAACATCAATATGAAAGGGACACATTGAGTGGCTACCACCCACACGACCCAACCAGGGCCGGGGACAAACTGCAACCGAGGTACGTGTCCTTAGCGGGAACCGAACCCGGGTCTCTCTGGACCACAGGCCAACGCTCTAACTGCTGAGCCAAACTGGCCAGGGCTCAATGAAGTTTTTATTTTTTTATTTGGTTATTTACTTATTTAATCAATATTTACTATCCTAAAATTTTTGGTTTCTCTTTTTATTTTCTTTCTTTGCTGAGACTTGGTGTGTTTTTGTTTCAAGAGTGTCCATAGTTGCTTGTCAGATCATTTTTATCATAGTTGCCTTAAAATCCTTGTCAGATAATTCTAATATCTGTATCACCACAGTGTTGGTGCCTGTTGATTATCTTTTCTTATTTAAGTAAATATTTTCCTGGCTCTTGTTTTATCTAGTAATTTGGGATATCTTGGACATTTCGTGTATTATGTTATAAGACTCTGGATCCTACTTAAATCTGCTATTTTGGTAGACTGAAAATCTACCAAAATCTACCAGATTTTGAATGAACATTTTGTTCCAATTTTGTGGACTGTGATTCAAATTTCATGTTATTTTTCTGAGCTCAGCAAGACTCTGCTGGTATGCCCCATTTCTGTGCTACCCTGGCCAATTTAGAACCTGGGCAGTTTTTCACCCAGAGTTCAAGTCTCAAAGGTTTTTCTAGTTTGATTCTGGTTGGTTTCACACATGAGCTACCCAGAGCTTATCCATAACTTCATGCATCTATTTAAAAAATTGCTTTCTTGCCCTGGCTGGTTTGGCTCAGCAGTTAGAGCATCAACCCTTGGACCAAAGGGTCAAGGGTTCAATTCCCAGTCAAGGGCACGTACCTGGGTTACAGGTTCAATCCCGGCCCCAGTTAGGGTTGTGTGGAAGGCAACCAATTGATGTGTCTCTCTTGCATCAATGTTTATCTCTTTCTCTCCCTTCCTTCCATTCTATCTAAAAAAATCAATAGAAAAAGAGTGAGGATTAATGAAAAAAAAAAAGAGTTGTTTTCTTCAGCTTCGTCCTCTCTATAATACTCCCCACTCTCGTTGGGAAAGGATAAGATACCACCTCATTGTCATCCTTTGCTTAATTTGGGGCACAGTGTTTCGTAGGGCTCCTCCCCACAGTCTCTGTAGTACTCAGCAGGGAGGAAAGGGGTTGCGGTTTCTTTTGTTGTCTGTGCTTTGAGTGGAACAGGTACAGTCAAGAGTTCACTCTTGCAGGGCTACCCACTTCCCAGTCTTCTGACTGGAGAGAGTAGGCATGTTGCGGAATTTTGTGTCTGTGCTCATTAGTGTTTCTGGTGGGCTACTTTAGCAGCCAGGCTGGCTATATATTGGAGGCAAAAAAAAAAAAAAGAAAGGCTCATGGACACGGACAACAGTATGGTGATTGCTAGAGGCAAGGGGGAGGAAGAAGAGGGTAAAGGAGGATAAATGGTGATGGAAGGAGACTTGCCTTAGGATGGTAAACACACAATACAATATACAGATGATATATTATAGAATTGTACACGTGAAACCTATATAATTTTTTAATATATATATATTTTTATTTTATTTATTAATTTGTTTTTGTTACAGATGTTTCTCATTTTTCCCCAATTGATACCCTCCTCCCCTTCCCCCCCACCCCATCCCCAGCTTTGTTGTCTATGTTCATTGGTCATGCATACATGCATGTAAGTTCTGTGGTTAATCACTTTCCCCCCAACCCCCCTTCCTCTGAGGCTTGTCAGTCTGTACTCCACCCCTATGGCTCTGGGTTAATTTTGTTCATCAGTTTGTTTAGTTCCACAAATTATATTCCACAAATAAGTGAGATCATGTGATAGTTGTCTTTCTCTGCTTGGCTTGTTTAGCTTAGCATAATACTCTCCAGGTCCTTCCATGCCATCTCAAAGGATAAGAGATCTTTCTTTCTTACAGCTGCATAGGATTCCATTGTGTACATGTACCATAGCTTTTTTATCCACTCATCCACTGATAGACACTTGGGTTGTTTCCAGATCTTAGCTATTGTAAATAGTGCTGCTATGAACATGGGGGTAAATATATTCTTTCTGATTGATGTTTCAGGTTTCTTAGGGTATATTCCTAGAAGTGGGATCACTGGGTCAAATAGCAGTTCAATTTTTAATTTTTTGAGGTAACACCATATTGTTTTCCACAGTGGCTGCACCAGTCTGCATTCCCACCAGCAGTGCACTAGAGTCCCCTTTTCTCCACACCCTCGCCAACACTTGTTTGATGATTTGTTGATGGCGGCCATTCTGACAGGTGTGAGGTGATACCTCATAGTTGTTTTAATGAAACCTACATAATTTTATTAACCAATGTCACCCCAAGAAATTCTAAATAAATAAATAAATAAATAAATAAATAAATAAATAAATAAAAATTAAATAATAAACAAAAAACAACAAGAACCTTCGGGAACTTCCTATCAGGTTGTTCCTGGAGTTTCATAGTTCTCTAACCAGCTGTCTTCTTTTCTGCACCTTTTGTATATTTTTCTTGGGGTGTTTAGTTGTAAATAGCAGGAGGATCAGGGTAGAATGCACTTGCTTCATACTGTCTAAAACGGAAAGCCAACCACAATTCATTTTTGTATCTTTCAAAAACACCACATTGCCTAGCGTGTGGTGTATCTATACTAAGTAAGCATTTGTTGACAAAATAAAGGAGTGAGAGGGGAAAATAAGTAGCTTCATATCTCAAAATGTTAATTAAGCATAACATAGTAGTTAAGAATATGGCCTTTAGCTCAGCTGCTGTGGCTCGGTGGTTGAACGTTGACCTAAGCACCAAGAGGTCACCAGTGTGATTCCTGGTCAGGGCACATTCCCAGGTTGTGGACCCAATCCCCAGTGGGGGGCATGAAGGAGGTGACCAATCGATGTTCTGTCTCATTAATGTTTCTTTCTCTCTCTCCCGACCTCTCTCTCCAAAAATCAATAAAGAAAAAAAAAAATTTTAATGTTTAAAAAAAAAAAAGAATATGGCCTTTAGAGCCAACAGTCATTTTAAATTTCAGCTTTACCACCTACTTTCAGTGTAATCTAAACAAGTAACTTTACTTCTCTGAGTCTCAGTTTCCTATAATATAGGGATGGTAATATCTGTCTCATAGGGTCAGTAAAAATGAAATAATGTATTTAATGCATTTAGCACAGTGCTTGGCAAACACTTAGTAAATATAGTTCCTAGCAATATTAGTAAAAACAACGATTGTCAAATATCACCATCTGTTTCTTATACTCATAGGAAATGCTGCCCTGAAAGACAAAGAAGATCAGTTTGGGAGAACACCCCTTATGTACTGTGTGTTGGCCGACAGGCTGGACTGCGCAGATGCTCTCCTAAAGGCAGGTGCAGATGTTAATAAAACTGACCATAGCCGCAGAACAGCCCTCCATCTTGCAGCTCAAAAGGTGAGACATAAAATTACTTCGAAGTATAAACCTTTTGTGTGGTGGTTGGTACTTGATTCATGGAACTGTGCAAATGGACAGATGATAAAGAATCGCAAATATATGGCTCATAGTTTCATATGTTTTCTCTACAAATAGTCTTAAAACTGTGGATAGTGGCTACTTTCACTCATCTTGAACATTAGAATTCATTTTACGATCTAACGTTAAGTCGGGGGAAAGGAATCAAAATTATATGTACACAATATGATTAAACTATATTACAAATCAATTTATGCATAGGAAAAAGCAAAGACCAAAATCAAACAAATAAAAAAACCCACCCCACTATGATGTTAATGATGGTTGGGTTTAAATATTGGGAATATTAGTTTCTTTTTTTTTTTCCCCCTCACCCGAGGATATTTTTCCATTTATCATCAGATAGAGTGGGAGGGAGGGAGAGAAAGAGACAGAGAGAAACATCGATGTCATAGAGACACATCAACTGGTTGCCTCCCGCACTACCTGACCAGAGCCGGGTATAAACCGCAACCGAGGTAGGTGCCCTTGACAAGAATCGAACCCGTGACTCACTGGTCTGCAGGCCCACACTCTAACCGCTGAGCCAAACCAGCCAGGGCAATATTGGGAATCTTAGGAAATTTTTGTACTTTTCACTGTTTAAAGTTTTTTCCTTAATGAGTATTACTTTTACAATAAAAATCTGTAGTCTCCCTTAAAGTAATTGGCATTTAGGAGTCATAAAAGATATTTATTTTCTGAATATATTTTCAACTTTTAAAAAATCTAAAAACTATATTGCCAGTTTAAATGATTTCAAGTTTTTATAGACATTGTAAGTGCTCAGATTTTTAGAATTAAACATATCAAAAAATAAAATGGGAAGTTTTTAATTTATTTAAAGAGTTATTTACCTGAAAACAATTTTCCCACCATAATAAAGTTTTGGTCTATAAAATATATTTCTAGTGCCTGGAATTTTTCTTTTTATTATCTTAGACTTGTGTATTTTTTTGTGTATAAAAAGCAAATGAAAATTGTTTAGATCCAGCAGAAACTATTAGAGTTATTTCCCATTAAAAATGTGAACCAGATATAACATATTAATTGAGGGGTTAGAAAAATGCCTTTTCATTAGTTGAATACATAAAAAGAGACTGACATTAAGATATACTACTGAATATACTAGTTATATGTTAGGTCTGTCAGGTTATTTCCAAAGTTGTTGCTCTTGAATTTGCTCTTCATTATAGTAATTTTTAAAAATCTCATTTTTAATCTCACTTTTAACTATTGCTTAGGTACTTATAACCTTTCACCTAGGCTTGTTAGCTGTTAAAATTATTCATCCATTTTTCTTGTTTTTATAAAGTAACCATTTCAGATTGGGAATAGCCCCAATATTAAAAATTTGATAGTTTTTTGTTGTGATTTTTTTAGGTTTATTTTTTATTTTATTTTATTTTTTTATCCTCACCCGAGGACATTTTTTTCTATTTTTTGTTCAGATAGAGTGTGGGAGGGAGAGAGAGAGAGAGAGAGAGAGAGAAACATTGACGTGAAAGGGACACGTCGAGTGGCTGCCACCCACACGACCCAAATAGGGCCGGGGACAAACCGTAACCGAGGTACGTGCCCTTAGCGGGAACCGAACCCGGGTCTCTCAGGACCGCAGGCCGACGCTCTAACCGCTGAGCCAAACTGGCCAGGGCTGATTTTTTTAGGTTTAAAAGTCAACTTCAAAATTGTAGACTGGAGGAACCCAACTTAATATCAGTAGATCATATGGTAAAATGAGGATTTAAGTTGGTGCTCCAACAGTAAGACATCTTTGTAGAGATATAATACAAAAAACATTGAGAGAAGGGGGCGTACAACCCGACATGCTAGCTGAGCAGTAAGTCTCTTCACAAGATGCAGTGCATTGTTTTCTTTTGCTTTTAGTTTCTCCTTTATTTTTTGTGCATATGATTTTTTTTATATGTTTTTCCTTTATTGATTTTTTTTTTAAAGAGAGAGGAAGTGAGAGGGAAAGAGAGATAGCATCATCGATGAAAGAGAACGTCAGTTGGCCGCCTCCTGCATGCCCTCACTGGGGATCAGGCCCACAACCTGGGCTTGTGTCCTACTGGGAATCAAACCGGCGATCTCTTGGTGCATAGGTAGATGCTCAACCAATGAGCCGCACCGGCTGGACTATGTGTATGATTTTTTAATGTCTAGGAATAAATAGAACTATGGTGTACATGTCACAATTTACATAGCTGACTTCATAAATAACAAGTTTCGTGGTTTTCCAGCTATTTCATAATTATGCATTTCCCCATCTTTGTGTTGCAGTTTGTTTTTCCATGTTTACCAAAAGCAATAATATATCATTAGGCTATACTAGCGTTAGTAGAATTTTCAGAATACGAGTGATAATAATTCTTTAGTACTCTGTCTGTCCAGATCAAAACTGAGTATTGTGTTTGATTTTGTGCTTCATACAAAAACACCATTATTAAAAAATCAAAGTTTCTATTGATCAGGCAGGAATAAGATGGTGAAGGGTCCAGAAATAATTTTCAAAGAATAGTTTTGATGATATATGTTCCAGGTCTGTAGCACACCTTGCCTCTGAGCAGACACAAGTACAAATTCTCTTTAGAGAAAACATCTTCACCTTAAACTTCCAGGGTTCCCTCATCTTAAAATAGATCAAACATGATCTCATGGTGAACACATGGGGAAGTAATCTACCATGAATGAGAGCAAAAACGATAAGCAGATTTTTCCATCAAAAACATTAGCTATTGCCATTATTAAAAACACAATATAAAATAATCATCGATGCTTATTTTAAAAGAAGATACAAAGATATCAGAAAGGAAGAAATCAGAAAAATGACCAACCATTAAGAAACTTTCATAACTAGGCATAAGTTCTGACCAGGACCAGTTATTTTAGAATAAGCCATCTGCCAAAAATATCTCTAAAAACTGAACAAAATATATACAGTACATAGTTGAAGGCATTGAGTATAATCAGCATATGCAGGATCTAAGAAACCGTGATTATTCACAGAAGGGGAGCATGTGAAATCAGCTCCACATTCATCTTGCCTTTTTCCTTTAAGGCATTTTCCAAATTGGAATGCAAAAGAAGACACCCTAGCAGGAAGCTGTGATCTTAGTAGGCTGAGAAACCCAGAGTTTGAAGTTAGCAGTGGCTGGAACTTGAAGGGCAAATCCTGGAGAGAAGGGAACTGCCGAGAAGGGACCCAAAAATCGGTACAAATCCCTCACAAATCATTAACAGATCCATAAGCTGTGCTTTTATAGTGTGAGGCTCTCAAAACCCAGCAGTAAACAACAGTTAGGGGGGGAAAAAAAAAACAACAACGAGGAGATTAAAGACTAAGCAGAGACTGTTTTAAATTTTTTCTATATTTTCTTTCCTATTCAAGTGTTTTATTATGAAACAAATAGATTTTTGTGTAGGGATCCAACCATTCTCATTTTAAAACATATGAATAATTTTCTCAGGACAACCTAGCTCATTAATTTTCAGCCATGTAGTATCTGATGTGGGCCTGTGCCAGGCTTTTATACTATGTACTTCCTATGCTTTTTTGTTTTAATTATATTTTTTAAATGAAAGGTCCGGACTACTAGAGAGCCACTTAGGAAGAAGAGAGTGGAGGTACATAGAAACTATGTAGATGAGGAGTTGGATCCAAGAGATATATTTGTGGAGGAAGAACTGTTCATTCAGTAAGTAGTTACCACATGTCTACTATGTAGTCATAACTATAGACCTAGAGAGATTATAAAAAAAATGAATCACAGCCCTGGCCAGTTTGGCTCAGTAGTTAGAGCATTGGCCTGCAGACCAAAGAGTTTCAAGTTCGATTCCAGCTGAGGGCATGTACCTCAGTTGCAGTTCATCCCCGGCCCCAGATGGGGTCATGTGGGTGGCAACCAATCAATGTGTCTCTCTCACATCGATGTTTCTCTCTCTCTCTCTCCCCTTCCCACTCTGTCTGAAGATAAATGTAAAACTGTCCTCAGGTGAAGATTAAAAAAAAAAAAATGAATCACACATGTCTGCTATAACTAATATTGTCAGTACCAATCCCTATTAAACTTCATTTCCCTTTGTTTAGTAGATCCTCTCTGATATATCAGATATCAAATATTCTTTTCAAGTTTTGCCTATCCACTTAATTCTGTTAACTATGAACTCATTACCATTTATGTAATCATCAATATTCCTGTGTATTCAGTATTCCTGCATTCATTCATTCAACATGGTAAAACTGTTATTATGTAACAGGCACTGTGCTAGGTAGGCCTTGGAATACAGAGGTGAAAGACATGATTCTTGATCTTAAGTTGTTTACAAAGATCTTGGATAAAGATATTAAGTGATAGCCCGGCCGGTGTGGCTCAGTGGTTGAGTGTCAACCCATGCACCAAGAGGGGCCAACATACAGGGGGTGGGGGGCATGCAGGAGGCAGCCAGTCGATGTTCTCTCTCATTTTTCTCTCTCTCTCCCTTCTTCTCTCTCTCTAAAATCAAAGAAAAAAAATTTTTTTAAGATATTAAGTGATAATTAAAGCCGGCCTATCTACCTTATAATAATACCTAAGTGTTTTATAAAATATCAACAGCCATAACATGTAAATAGTCATTATTATTATTGACCTGAAGAGCAACCATTCTTGTATGTTATTTTTTATATTTTTTCTTTTTTGTGATGGTGAACTATATTATGTTATCTTTCTTGAGGCTGGTTAGTAGGAAGAACTCAGGTTCCCATAGCGTTTTCTTCATGTCTCTATTAGAGCCCTATTTCTTATACTGTAATTATTGCTTACTTGTCTCTTTCCCACTAGACTAGAGCTCCAGGCAAGAACCTTGTTTTATTTCTTTTTGAATCCCCCAGAATCTAACACAGTGTCAGATATGTCTTGGTTGAATGAATGAATATATCTTATGTTACTTATATAGAA